GTCAGTCACAGACTGTGTCGTGTCAAAAAATACAATTATTTCATTAATTCCTATGTATTTCTGCTTTTTACTCATCCAACCAAACATGAGGCTGCAAGTAGTGGTTGAAAAAGGGGGCCCATTTGTATGGAGAGAGGGGAGGCAGGAGCCCCACGTCGGTAGACAACGTACTGAGCACCGAATGCTATTGGACGTGGAATGGATAACATCAGCGTAATATAGGCGTTCTTATCTTTTTTCCAGGAGTATTATTGTTAGTTATCTTAAAAACTACAACACAGTCTTTTTCAAGACTACCAGTAGATCTGGCAGGATCAATGTAAGTTACCATAAATTAGCACATGAAAAATTGCAATTAAAATTATTTTTCAAAAATAGGGAACCAAATAGCAAGAAAGTTGTTCATAGCCAAGGACGAGAAATCAAAATCCAATGTGTTTGAATATATGAAGCGAGAAAAGGAAACAGAAGAATTAACCATACCTCCTAGCCATTTATTTGAGAGAGTAGCTGAAGCTACAGGTGTATCCATAAATCCTGTGAAGCGTGTTGTTAAAGAAAATCACTCCAAACCACCGAATACAAAATTTACTTCTCGAAAAGCCATAAAAAAATCTAGCCCAAAGTTGTCTAGGTGTGTAGATACATTTCAAACGAATTAAGAATACAAAATTTATGATGCCCATGACTTGCATTCTATACACTGAATCCATTCTTCCTTTGGGACACTTTGGGAAAACGGCTCCATACAAACTACGCAGAAGCAGTTGTTAAAGAAAATCACTCCATGCCACCGAATACAAAATTTACTTCTCGAAAAGCCATGAAAAAATCTAGCCCAAAGTTGTCAGTGGCTCAATTTGATGAATAAATTATTAGAAATGCTATATACAATTCGTGCATATCCATAAAAGGAGACCTACAATGAAGGCGGTGTACGATGCTCTTATCAACGGTGGTGTAACTCTTAATAGAAAACTCACGTCATTCAGAAAAGTAGTACCTACGCAAATTGAGCTTCCGTTGGAAAAGAACAGAAGATAACAGGAAGGTAATGATTGAAATGGAGATCAGAGCAAACGGGCAGAATACTTGAGAAGACTGAAAGAGTACAAAAATCTAGGTGTGTAGATATATTTCAAACGACTTAAGAATACAAAATTTATGATGTTCTTCAGTATTTGAGAATCTCTTTTTATCCTTTAACCATAGAAAAACTTTTGTAGACAGAAATATCGTTTACAATGACGAAACATATACTAAGTGACATATAAATCCGAACACCCAGTTTAAATGGTTTTATTTTAATAAAAGTTGGTGAATGTATTTATCTTACTGTAAATAACAAGTGAACAAATTTTCAGCCTTATCAGTTGGACATTCCGGTTTTTATAATGCTTTTTTTTAATTCACTAACGCTCTAAAAATGAATATTTCAGCCGCAGTAAAGAATCAATGTTGGCGGATTTTGGTTCTTGACATCCTTTACGATCGGTTACGATGCCTAGAGTACGGAGACCTGTACGATTTCGTCAACTTAGTGAGTTTGATAGGGGCCGTATAGTGGGACTTCGGGAAGCTGGACTTTCTTTTCGGGCAATTGCAGTTAGAGTGCAAAGAAGTGTAGACACTGTGGTTAGGTGTTGTCAGGCATGGCTTCGAGAAGGCCGTACGCAAAGAGCAAGGGGCACTGGACGCCTCCGTAGAACAACAGACCGTGAAGATCGCCGCCTAAGATTATTGGCCTTAAGGGACCGTTTCTCCACTACCAGGTCCATTGCAAATGAATGGTTTGCAGAACACGGAAGACCTATTGGCATGCGAAGTGTTTACCGACGAATGAGAAGTTTTGGCTTGTTTTCATACCGGCCACACTGGGTCCTCCCTTTAACTCGAGAACACCGACGTAATCGCCTTGAGTGGTGCAGACAATGGTCACTCTGGGATCAGGAATGGAATAGTATTGTCTTTAGTGACGACTCTCGATTTTGTTTAGGTATGCACGATGGTCGTGCCAGGGTTAGAAGGCGACGTGGTGAAAGGAGGAATCCACAGTTTTTTGTTGAACGACATGTTCATCACACTGTTGGAGTTATGGTTTGGGGTGCTATAGCTTATGGTTCCAGGTCACCTTTAATCTTCATCAGAGGTAACATGAACGCGCAGCGTTATATCCACGAAGTTCTAGAACCCCATCTTTTACCCTATCTTGACACCCTGGCAGATCTAACTTTCCAACAAGATAATGCCCGACCACATGTTGCAAGAGTCACAATAGACTTCTTTCAACATAATGATGTCACATTGTTACCATGGCCACCAAGATCTCCCGACTTATCCCGAATTGAGCACGTGTGGGATATGATGGGTAGGAGATTGCTTAATTTGCAACGTCCTCCTCAGACTCTAGAAGCACTTCGAGAGGAGTTGGTGGTTGCCTGGAATGAGATACCACAGGAGGACATTGACCACCTGATCAGAAGCATGCCTAGGCGCGTTGGAGAATGCGTAGCACATCAGGGTGCATCCACACATTATTAAAGGTCAAAGGGCTTTAAAGCAGTGTAATCATTTTGAAATTTTTATCATTTACTTATTATGCTTCATCAAGTACTTATACAAAATTTTATTAAAATAAAACCATTTAAACTGGGTGTTCGGATTTATATCTCACTTAGTATACATACATAGCTCACACACAGTACCGGAAGCATGTGATAATGGAACATATAATTGCTTAAAAGCACCACTTGTAAAAGGCAAACGTTTAATCATTGTGCATTGTAGGGGTAGAAATGGTGTTGTTCCCAATGCGATGGGACTTCTATCTCAGTCTAACTAAAACGAATGTTCAGGAGTCTGATTCCAAATGAGGTTCGACCGTCGAAATTCATTTCGATGGCGCCTAGGGACGATATAATGGTACGCTATGATAATTTTGACACTGCTACGATAATTTGAATATAGAAGATCGATATCATCAAATGTCAAAATTATTATAGCGAATAAAACATATCCTCACAAGTCGCCGTCGAAATTAGTTACAACGGTCGAAACTCATTTAGAATCAAGCCCCAAGTATCTTATTTTGTTTATTACGTACAAATATATTTTAGTGTTTGTTTTTTAAATCTCTTTTCTACATGATATTTATACAATGCATACAGAATTAGGAAATTTCCATAATCATGAAATTACACGCAAACATGGTATATGCGTATATGTTAGGAAGCACGCGTTCAACTCTCTATGATTAAATAAACCCTATAACTACGCCACTGTACAGACATACACGTTGTAGGCCCGCTGCTGGGCTCCCGAATGATTCAGGACTCTGTGTCCACCCACCTCCCCTCTTGCGCATTGTGCGGCTCACGAGAAAGCGTACCTACTAGCTATACTTGTTTTAATAATCTTTTTAATTAGTTTAGGTAATTTAGTTTATGCACTAAAAGTACACCCAAAAAAATTAGACATTTTAATAAAAACAGTAAAACTGTTTATTTGAATCGCGGACGGCAGGATTTGGCATTTCGGTGACTATCGGTGACACGCTTTTAACTCCTCAGTCCGATTTGTGATTTTTGCGAGGGGCTTCGTATTTGTTGGCTTTGATAGTGTATTAGCTGTGAAGCGGATCAATTGTGGTGATCAAGTGAAATTCTGAAAGCAAGTCCGCAACCCCTTTTTGTTTATACATAGCAAATTTGAATAAAATCATTATTCGTCAAAATGGCAGAGGACCGAAAAGTTCTTTGCATTTCTAGCATCAATATGACCTATTCCATCATATCCTGCGAGCCGTGTTTTCAAAGCAAGTCCGGAACACCCCGTTTTTGACCCCCCTTTGTTTATACATAGCAAATTTGAAAAATCTATTATTCGTCAAAATGGCCGAAGACCAAACAGTTTTTAAATTTCTGTCATCAATATAACCTACTTCATCACGCCCTACCAGCCGTTTGACCACTGCTTTTATAGCGCAAATTTGAAAAATCTATTATTATTTTTGGGGGGGGGGGGGTGGTGTAAAAACGGGGGGTTCTGGACTTGGTTTGGGGAAACGGCTGATGTGGTGTGATTGGCTAGGTCAGATTCATGCGAGAAGTGCCCAAAACAATTTGGTCTTGGGCGGTTTTGAAAAGCTATAGATGATTACATAGTTTCTAAAATATTATGTTTTGAAGGGGGGTCAATTCGGGGTATCTGTGAACGAGATCGCACGGATTTGAACTTAGCGTGAGTAAAATATGTTTTTTCTATTCAACTAACGTGAAAACCGCATTAATCCACGTTTATTTTAATGTAATATCAAGTTTTTCGCGGTACTCCTCACTCTGGGAAGGTTTTTGGAGGAGCGAGGTAAGACCTTCATAGTATATAGAAAGACATTAATACAATCGAACTACGTGAAAATTACATCAATTTATGTTTATTTGGACCCAAATTACGTCGGTAGAAGTGGTAATGGCAAATTTGCGGCACTGCTGCCTTTTTACCGTTTAGATCAGGACGTGATCGATCGGAACTTCAGCCGAAAATTTTGTTAGGGTAATAAAATTCTGAAGTTTTTATTCTGGTTTGAAAACATTAACTATTAGGTTCTCCAAATTTTTTGTTGGCTAAATTTTGATGGAGCACAGTTATAATATATGCATCATATAAATTTAATTAAACGATTGCGTTTTGGTTTAAATTAGTTCAAGAGATTCAAGCAAACAAACTGTTTTAGAAATCGGAGTTGAATTAAACTAATTAAAATTGTTAGTTGTCACATAGTTAATAAATTTTTTGAATTGGCCTACTTAAAATTTTATTTGGGTTAACTAAATTTTTTCTCAGGATGCTTTAGTAAAATGTATAAATACCCTAAGAATGATATTTTCGGTGTTTTGCACCACTGTTCGTCGGTCCTTTACCTTTTGGAAACGATTGAGAATCTAACTTGGAATAATTATTATATCATGCTTGGTTACAGTGTAAAATTTATTGCCGATGTCTGTTAAACACTCAGTAATCTTGTTAATGTCAGTTTAACTTGTTCGGCAACGGTCAAACCAAATTCATGCAGCATGTCACTCCTAAAAACTATCGAGACTATATCAAAATTACCCAGTGTAAAATTTTGCATTCCTGTTACGAATCAGCACCAGCACATCCGCATTACCCAGAATAATGCCGCAAAGCCTGTTTTTAGAAGGAACAAATGTCAAGACGAAGGGCCTTCTCCGATCTTACAATTGGCGAAAAGAGCTCAACTGGAGACGCAGGTCAGACCTTACCATGTGATGACTGGAGGTCAGATTTTAGATATGCCTAGTAACAGCCAGGGGTATATTCTTCCAGGTATCTTTTCTAAGCTCTACTTGACAGTCAGGACCATTTTTACCCTTGACATAATGAACTCCGTATACTTTTTCGTATTTTACTGGTTCAAAGTTGGGGTTTTCCTTTTCAGAAACAACTACCGTTGAAATAACAAAGGTAATGTGTAGTGAAACGAGGGCGACCAAGTAAAAAAAAAATAAAGGAAAAAGTACTCACTCTCCAGTTGACGAGAAGGGCTAAGTACGTATCTGCCCGAAATCATACCGCTCCAACAGAAAATGAAATCAGCTGATGCGCTACCGAGCAGACGTAAACAGTCTAGGTATTGCATCCCGTCCAATCGATTTGGGAGAATAAATGGTCCAATGAGCCTACCGTTCACCATGCCAGCCCAAACATTCACCGAAATTGTTTGTTGAAAATGTGCCCGATGGACAGCGTGCGGATTTTCTACTGACCAAACATTAGTGTTGCGAAAGTTATTCACCCCATTTCGCGTCCAACGTAGATTCGTCTGTCACCAATATGCACTTCAAAAAGTCCGGATTATTGTCATGTTCATGCAACAATCACTCACAAAACCGCACTCTTGCTGGAAAATCGTCAGGTTGAAGGGCTTGTACACGTTGGACGTGAAACGGATACAGCCCCTCTTCACGCAGCGTTTGTCACACTTTAGTTTTTGATACTTGCACTTCTCTAGCCACGTCTCTAGTGCTTGTTGTTTTTTGAAACGCAATCGATTATACGAGTTCGTTTACCTCTACACGCGTGACCGTAACCGTCGGTTGAAGGTTGCATACTGACCTAACACACTGACCCCGACCCCCGACCCAGTTCTGTCGTCGGGTTGAGCTAGTAGCCGGTACCAGTTGGGGATATCGCGAGTCGCGGCTACAGGACGGTATTCAGATATTTTTGATGTTGCAGAGCCCTTTATCTCGGTTCCCTTAAGACATTGGTGTATATGGTACTAAGAAAAGTTGCTTATGTTTTCAAGATCTACACGTCGCCGTCGTGTAAAGGAAAACCCCAACTTTGCGGACACCCTGTATATGATCCTAGGGGTACAAAGCAAGACTATCAGTGCTATTGAGTGATCTGTATAGTAGCATTCATGGCAAAAATGGATAATCCAAAATTTCGTGATCAGTCACTATGAGGGAAAACGGAAATTAGGGATTTTTGTAATGGTTTTCTGAACTTTAGCGTCAAATCTAGTTTCAGTTCAGTTATATTATTTGTTATAAGGAACAATATATCGGCCATGAATCAGTTTTCAATAAACTAGTATGCAGTAACCAACTCAAAATGAGCGATATATCGCGATTGATAATTTGGTGAATTATATAAATTCAGTATGTACTGTGATCCGTCAATAAAATTATATCAAAAAGTGATATTACCTGCAACAGGTCGTATTTAGTTGCAACTGAGTGGCCAGCACAAAACGAGGTCTGTAAGTTAAGTGATTAGACTCTGAAATTCTTATTTTTTTTTATTCAAACATTATTACAATTTTATTTTTTCACCCTCAAAATAACTTCCAAATGGAATAGTTTTCAGCTGGTCGGTTGCTTTGATTGTTTTCGAATGTGTACCCTTGAGGTGACTTTTATATTCGAGAATACAAAAAAGTCACATGGCGAATAACGACGCTGAGGAGCCACAGGAATGTTTTTACTGACCAAAAACTCGTTTATTGACATGGCTGTGTGACAAGGAGCATTGTTGTTCTTGATCTGATGACTGGTGATGCGACTCAAATTCTCAATGTCAACCAATGATCTGATCGAACAAGATTCCAGATTCTGTCGATATTTTCATCGGTTCTTAAAGATGGCCTGCTTCGTGGTTAATCTTCAATCGACTCTCTCCCTCCTGAAAATGCCGTAAGCCACCGAAAAACCTGAGCTCTTGACAAAACACTATCTCCGCAGGCCTGCTGAAGTTTAGCAAGAGTTTTCGTTGCACTGTCTGAAGCAAAACTGTATAGCACACCGTTGCTCAAAATTAATGTCACTCATTTTTAGAATACAAAAGAAAAAACTGTTTCACAAAAAAATCTCTACGGACAACCGAATGACTCGAGCGAGTACAAACTTGTACTGACGGAGGTTCACATGTTCCCCTGTTATCCCTCTAAGCCCGGGGCCTCCAGTGTTGCCAGATTGAGCGCTACTTTGCCAGTCTCGATACTTAATTCACAGATCTCGTAATTTTTTCGATTCATACTTTGTTTTTAATATTTACCTTCAAGAATTATGAAAATAAGTACATACACCTTAGGAAAAACCATTGTTATACATGGGAAATCATTTCTTGGCAACATCGCATCGGCTCGTCTACTTTCATCGCTATTCGTACATATTTCCTACCGTTAACCGCAGACCCGTATCACGAATGAGAATAATAGGCAGATACGCTGTGTTGCCAATTTGAGTAGAGCTTCCCGAATTGTGGGGAATTTAGAGTTAAGTGTTGATTCATTCAAGCTTTTAATCAGCATGGCCTAGACGTTAGAACTTCATAAAGATAACATTGAAGCTGAATGCTGCTGGAGTATAGTGTTTTGAATATTCAAAGCGGAGCGGGACACTATACTCGTTCAATGGGTCATCAAGCCACAGTCTTTTCAACAAAGAAATTATTTTACGAAAATGCGTTATATTTTTACGATTTTGTCGTCACCAAATCTCTGTTTCTCAAAATGTACGTCTATTGTAGAATTTTCAGCAAACTAAGCAAGAAACGTGATCTAGTATTTAGAAAATGTGATTTCTCGAAATACATTAAAAAATGTGACCTAGATACCTAACTGCCCCAAGCTCTTTAAATATAACACCTTAAACCAGGGTTACCACGTGCTCAGTCACGTTGATTGTCATGATGTACTTGGCAAGTCAGCAAACAATCTGGCGTAATAAACGTTAGGAATCATCAGGTATTGCCAGATTCCCGAATACCGGGCACCATAGTAACTGTTATAGTTGTCCTTCAAAGTTGCCAAATCGCCCCTATGGCGCAAATTCGCCACACCAGGCAACTGTGCTCTAAACAAACCCTGTTTATCACTACTATTTGATAGTCATATGGTAGTTGTAGCCCTATCTAGCGGTCCATGATTTCTCTCAATACTGTTGTATCTCTACTGGCAACAAGAATAGGGATTACAAAATCATTTATACACCAATATACAAACATGAAAAATATGATTTGAACCATGAAACATTAATACAATTTTAATAGTTTGAACTTTTTTCATTTTTAGAATACTCTTATGTGGAATCCGCAGCTATTTTTCCCGAAATTTGGGTAGACTTAGATTTCTTAGAAATATGACATACTGGTATCGGCAACTCTGCGAATGGGAGAAACAAATCGCATTTGTTGAGCGCATCCGTCTAAGCGGTAGGCGCCAGCGCCCGTTCTGCCATCTCTCTCTTTTATCACTCTTCTACTTTACCCCGTTGTCCGTCACACTCCGACGCTGCCACATAGGATCCTACAATCGAGTGTCTTTCACGCACCTACATACTTTTGTATATTTCCATCTCTCTTCCTCATCATAATGTATAATAATGTTTTTTCCCAAGGTGTATACGGACAGAACAACGACAATAATATTAAACAAAACCGGAGAAAACTACTAAAAAACAAAATATATAAATTGTCGAGTTATGGGGGGTAAGTTTTCTTCTTTTTTGTAGTTCGCTCAACACCGGTGTCCCAATTCAAGGGCAAACATAAAGGAGGCAAAGGACAATATGGAGGTACTGGAGGCAGCGATGGTTGCCCACCCTGCAAAACCGACCCCAATCCCTGCAAAATGCAGAACTGCAAGCTGAAAAAGCCAAAAAGGAAGAACGAACATGAATGCGACCCTGACGAACCAGAAGATATTTGCAAACGAGATAGCCCTTGCAATTGGTACCCTGGCAAAAAACCGTGTAAATGATGAAGAAAAAGTCACAAAACGTATTGTATGTAGTATATATGTGTATGGTAACTCGAAAATTGTGATGAGTAAATTTTTGCTTGGAATACGTTTATTCTCACATTTTTTGAGAAGTTTACGGTAACCACCATTTTTTTCATTTGTACTATGTCACCTATATATTTTTAAAATTAGAATTCTGCAGAGATGGACGCCACGAAAAACTTTGTCGTCATTTTCATCTGTTGGCCTGAAAGAAAGGACTGCTCGGATGTTAATGGAATTTTCACACAAGGTTACTATTATATCAATGACGAAAAATTTTTCTAACCGCAGAAAATCGATCCAGTGGCTACGCAGCTACAGACAAAAAACGAAAAAAAAAAACCTCGCAAACATCGACTTCTGACGTTTCAGACACTCCTGCCAATTTTTGTAAATGGGTGACGATACATTTGAATCATGGCACTATAACTCGAGGTATAAATTGTTTTGCATTATAACGGGCTGTTCCGCACGGGTATTACGTAAAAAACCTCTAAAACGTCAAAAACCTAAAAAATTCAAAAACTGAATTTTCCCAAAATAGTTTTAATTTTATCCTGACTTCATTGTAGTGGGATTTCAAAATAAATTACACATTAACATTGCCACCTTTTCTCCTCTATAAGAAGGCATAATTAGAATTTCAATATGATATTTCGCCTATTGCGCTCCAGCATCAAATTTATTTTCTCTTATGGACTCCATATTGGATTCTTGCACAGGCGGATACAGTTTTTAATTCTGATTCCAATTAACATTGTCGAACCTTAGTTATTTAAAAAACCAGAATTTTCTAGGTAGGCGTTGAAATTATCAGGTAATTTCGCATACCAGATTTATCCCAAAATCGCTTTTGTTTTCCTGACTTTATTTTAGTTGAGATTTAAAAATAAATTGCACGCTGTCATTGATACTTATTCCCGTCTACAAGATGGCGCAGTCAAATTTGAAATTCGAAATTTCTTCTTTCGACTCCCACTACCAACTTTTTTTTTCATATGGATGCTATATTGGAATTTTGTACATTCAAATAGACTTCTCAGTACTAAATTCAGTGATGTATTTTCTCAGGTGGCCATCATGAGCTTCTTGTTCGATGAAAATAATAAATAAAAAAGAATGGTGAAACCTGAACACAAAATGAAAATTTTATTGAAGGTAATAAAATGATCATAGCAGATGTTCGAAATGTTGTCCGTTATTTTGTAGATAATGCCTGACTTTTCTCTGTACATTGTTCCCTGCTCAATTTATTGCTCTTCTCAGTCTTACAAACTCTATTGTTATGTTCAATTTGAGGTCTGGCCTGTAATACGGAACAAATGAAATCTGATAATTTCAAGCCCTACCTAGGAGCTTCTGTATTTCTGGAATAACTAATCTTTGGCAATGCCATTTATTAATTCAATCCTTAGCAGTTCTACGAGATGAAAAGAAAAAATATTACAATGCCAAAATTGATCAGAGTAAAAATAATAGCAAACATATGTGGAAAACGTTGAAAAACATTGTTTCTCCTATTAGAGAAAGTACATTATCTGAAATGAAATTCGACGATGGGGTAATAACAAATGAAGAAATAATAGCAGATCGAATGAATACCTATTTCATAGAAAGTGTCAACGAGATTGTAAAATCAATTATTGATGGGGATCCCAACCAATGTCCCATTAGCTCAGATTATAATGCATCATTCAGTGAGTTTAGAACAATAAACATTAATCGTCTCAAGAAGGTTATATCAAAAATTATATCAAATCAAAATAAGAGTGAGATTTTGTCTAAAAGTGTGCTTAATGAATTTTTTGATATTATTGGAGCAAGAATATTAATCATGATAAATTACTGTTTAAAATATGGTGAATTTCCAACAAAACTGAAGTGTTCTACCATAACTCCTGTCTCTAAAGTTAAGAATTCTATATATGCGGCCAATATAATGTTCTGCCAGATGTTGAAAAATTTTTTGAAGAAATTATTTATGAACAGATCATCGAATTTATTGAGGGAAATAACATTGTAACCAAATTTCAAGCTGGATTCAGGAAGAAACCCTCAACTGAAACGGCAACACAAATGGTTTTAGAGGACTGGAGGAGATGTTGGACAATCGGAAACATTCAGTAACAGTGTTTTTGGACTTCAAAAGGGCATTTGAGCCTATTCACAAGGATAAATTACTTACAAAATTGCATCACTACGGATTTAAAGGATCTGTATTCAAAATTTTACAAAAATATTTAATTGACAGAAGTCAAAAAGACAAATATTGGATCTACATTATCAAGATCAAAAAATATTTCTGTTGGTATACCACAAAGTAGTAAACTAGGTCCACTACTATTTATTTTATACATTAATGACATTTGTAATATTTTAGATTGTAAACTTCAGATATTTGCAGATGATACATTAATATACATGTCAGATGAAAATATAGACACTGCTTTAAAAATGCTAAATTCCGACTTCGCAAAAATCGTAAATTGGTTAAATGTGAATGAACTAAAATTGAATACTTCTAAAACAAAATGTATGCTAATAGGGAAATACCTAAATGAAAATACTATCACAGTTAGGATAAATGGAGAAGTAATTGAAAATGTTGAATCAATTAAATATTTAGGTATATGTACTGATCGTAAACTAAAGTTTGAGGATCACTATGAGTATATTATTTCAAAAATTGCCAAAACAACAAATTACTTTTATAGGGCTTTTCATAGCCTTGGTACCTATTCCAAGAAAATAGTTTATAATACAATTATTCTACCGCATTTACTATATTCAACTACTATCTTGTTCACTGCAAATGAAGTTGTATTCTCAAAATTACAAGTCTTGCAAAATAAAGCTATGAGAATAATATTGAATAAAAATAAGTACACCAAAATAAAATCTATGTTACAAGAATTGCAGTGGTTGAATAAAAAAATTTCATATATTTGGTTCTTATTTTTATATTTAAAATAAAAAAATCATCTTTTGCCGGAACATTTAGAACACTACATAGAATTGAATAATCATTACCACAATTATTATACAAGAGGAAATATAGATTTTCATTTACAAAATTGCAATAGTAATATAACTAGCAAATCAATATTTCAGAAAGGATTACTTGAATTTAATAAACTAAATAATGATATAAAGTCTACGTGTAAGATAAAGATATTTAAAAGAAAATTAAAGGAATATTTCATGGACAATGAATATTCTTAGCGATGCAAATTTTGTTTTTTTTTTCCGAATGTCTTTATTTTATGTAATTGTTTAGGTTTTTAGAAGAATGTAATTGTAGTAATCATGCCAAATAAATCTTAAACAAACATCATACATTTTTGGAATCAGAATTAAAAACTCTAGTCATCCTCGCAAAAAAAAAGTTGATGCTGGAGGAGAAGAGACGAAAGGTCAAATTCGAATTCTACTTATGCCATCTCGTAGTGGAGAAAAAGTGGACATGTCGTGCAATTTATTTTGAAATCCCACCACAAACCGTCAGGAAAAAATTAACACGATTTTGGAAAATGTCCGTTTTTTCTGGAAGTACTTCAAATTGCGAAACCTTCTAAGCGGCATTTTGTTGATTACCTAAATACGCAAGTTTGCCCCCATTTAAGCAACCTCGTATCTCTTACAGTTTCCGATATCCCAATGCTGAGGGCCGAATTTAAGACACACTGTATAGTATAATGGACGCCTAACGAAGATAAAATATGACAAAATAGAACACCGACTTGCGCGACTACCACAGACGAGGTGTAATCGACACAACTGTGACTAGATCGCAACGTTGCCACATAAGTGGGGACCAATTATACAGGGTGACTTTGAAGTTGAGTCATTAATTTTCAGATAATGATTGTAGAAGGAAGATAAACCAAAATATGTGTGTAAAAATAAAAAAAAAAATAAAAAAAAATTGTTTACCTTGTTTTATAAAGTATCCTCCCGACAAGTATTTCAGTGCGGACCTGTATTTGATCGTGAGGTCCCCTGTGAGGTCTTAAGTCACCTGATTCACGAGCCCGTTGTACTACATTAACAAAGGCACTAGGGGTTGGTTGCACTCGATTGGGAAACCGATCCGCATAAACATGTGCCATTTTTTACTTCGTTTGAGCCACGCAACAGATACCACTTTCACTGACATTGACTGTATACAAATGACTGAGATACTTGTAAAAACATCGTTCCAAATTCTTTCGCTTTTTTGTTTCCGATGCGATGAACCGATACGGCGGATTATATCCGTTGTCGCCAAACACGAGTACCTAATATTATTATTGAGACAGGGCGGTACTCAAAGTTCCAAAGGGCTATAACTTTGTTACTTTAATTTTACCAGAAAAATGGTAAAGGAAAAAAACATTTCTTTTGATCAGATCTACTCACTGTTAAAATAAATGACTCAACTTCGAAGTCACCCTGTATACAAGTTCGCTTTGGTATAGACCTTTTGGCTGCCTTGTTCTATTTAATTCCTCTGCTACAGATTTCCGCAGTTAACATACTTTACGCCATGTTTTAATCGACAACCTCGGAAGTCAGCAGACTCTACTGACCGCATCCACCATATTTTTGAAGAATCAGAACGTAAGCAGACCACATTTGCCATTTTTTTAGAACTAGCGGTAACTATTTTTAAGGGCATCAAGTAATAAAAAGCACTGTGATTTATAAAACTGTATTGTCTTCAATTTATTGAGAATTTAACAAGACTCAGAATAATTCACGATAAAAACTAAGTACCTGTTAAATACACTTATTTGTACAACTACAAAAATCGATATGGGTCAAATAAATATAGTTAAGGGCTAATAACTTGTGCTCAACTAAAAAGTAAATCACTGAGAGGTAAACAAAACATCTAGTTAAACACAAGTGGATGTTACTCTAAATAAATAAGGTTTTTGCACAAAATATACATCTTCCTACATCGGGAAAATAATAAAAATTAAAAAGTTGTAAAGGAAGAAATGGCCGCTGAGAACACTTACTTTAGAAATTACCCGGTCGTTCTAAAAAAATTTCTATAACAAGTGTCACAACAATACAAAAGGCTAAGCAGTTTTTTTATCAAAAACAAAAAGGACTACAAATGACATCAGGTCAACTGTCAATAAATGAAAATGACTGGTGTCACGTAACCTTATGCTTCTTAGTTTGTCAACTATTTCTATTGAAAACAACTAAGAGATCTTACCTTAGAGTGTTTGCGAATGGTCGCCAAGCAACAATATTTTGGCAGGTGACAGATCAGTACTATGCATACAAACTATAGTGCTACTTTATGTACACAAAACATATTTTGGGGTAATTTATCGGCGAAATTTAAGTAAGTGCTGTTGGTAGTGAAGTACGATACAAACGTACTGATATCTATTTTGCTTTGAGTGCCTTCATGAGCCCGTCAGTAGACATGGATTTTGGTCTTTCGATGGGCAGACCCAAAGCACGGTCCCAAACGAGAGAAGCCAAGACACCCAATGCTCTTGATACTCCAAAGAGAACTGTGTAGTAGTTCATTTCTTTAAGTCCGTAATACTGAAATAAATAGATGACATTGTAATACACTGTGATCGAATACTTAACTAAACGTCTATATCAAATTGTCAAACACGTTGAGTTTTGAGAATTATTAATGGTGCTTCCAATCATAGAAGTAACGTCAAAACCATAGGATAGATTTAAAAAAACACTTTTGAAAAGATCTACGATAAAATCTTGCACGAATTTATTTGCTTCTTTTATTGACACATTCTTAAATGCCACATCAGCTACATTATACCATTATACGGAAGCATGTGAAGGAAATCACTGCATATTACTCGATCATACGAGTCAAAACGTCAGTCCTGAAAATGACCCTGATTGGTCACATAATACAGGGTGCGGCAGAGAGGACGGACGGGATGGGTAGTACTCTCCGCCGCCGTCTACGAAAGGTGGGGAGGGTACCGTTTGACTCGTGAGATCCTAGCATTATTTTACCAGTTGTCGTTATGGAGCCTTGGAAGGTGGATCAAAACGAGAACCTCATTTTGTTTATGAGTGACGAAGCCCACTTTCACCTAAACAGCATGGTTAACCAGCAGAATTGTCGTTATTGGGCTAATGAAAATCCGCAACACAACACGAAAGACCGCTGCACAGCCCAAAAGTAACGGTTTGGTGCGCTGTATCGCAAACTTGCATCATTGGCCCTTACTTCTTCGAAGACGGTAATGGTCGTGATGTTACTGTGAACTCAGAGCGCTACGTCGACATGATCACCAACTTCTTTCTCCCTGAATTACGACGGCGACGTGTTCCAATCCGACGTGTGTGGTTCCAGCAGGATGGGGCGACCGCCCACACAGCCCGAGCATCCATGGACGTTATTCGCCCTCTCTTCCCTGGTCGTCTTATTTCCAGGTTTGGCGATGTTCATTGGCCTCCTCGGTCCCCAGATTTATCCATATGCGAGTTTTTCTTCTGGGGACACCTCAAGGCTAGAGTATACGCAAACAAGCCCCGAACTCTGGACGAATTGAAGGGCGAAATTGGCGTGGAAGTCGCCCAAGTTGAGAGAGCGATGTTGGAGAGAGTACGCGAACTTCCAAGAACGCCTCCAGCACTGCATCAACGATTTCGGCCACCACATGCCTGATGTGATTTTCCACACTTGACTGTATCAAATGCTATTTCCATGTGAACCTGATTCCATCAATAAATTTGTTTTCGAGTAAAAATTAACTATTTTATGATTTTTTTAAAACCGTCCATCCTCTCTGCCGCACCCTGTATAAAATAAATTCTAGAAAAGACCTACCTGAAGGAGGACGCCAGAGTGTGCATCTACATTTGGCCATGGGTTCTTCACCTTGCCCAATTCAGTCAGGATTGGAGGTACTACTTTGTAGATGGTGGACACCAACTGTAAAGGAATATAATCGTCATTTTGATGCAATCTACAATCTACGCTTTGCGACAATTACGCTACACTTTTATCAAAATGGAACTTACCTGGAACATTGGGTCCTCAGGTAGGTGTTTCATGGCGAATTCTCTCTGGCAGGTGTACCTTGGGTCAGTCTTCCTCAGTACGGCGTGTCCGTATCCAGGTACGACTTGTCCGGATTTCAGGGTCTTCCAGATGAACTCCTTGATTTCCTCTTCTGTGGCTTTGTCGCCGATCTGTTGACGCATTTTCTGCAGCCAAACCAATACCTGAAAACAAAAATGTGATCAACATTTAGGAAAGGAAAAAACTGCTAGGAATTGTATGAACATACCTTTCCAGCATATTATTACATAACTGCAAAATGACAGGGATAACGATAGGGATTTTCTTATCATAGGCAACAAACAATTTTGCCGCTTTTGTATCAAGTTAAATGTGTTTATTGGATATAATTCTTAGTTATGAGTGTATATGTATATTATATTACATCAACTATCTAGTTATTTTACTAATGTCTACAATAATGCAATACATAAATCAGTATACAGGTTGTTCATTTGAACAACTTTCCAAGGCGGTTATATCGGAAACCACTGATTAAAAGAAAAAAAAAAGCTAAATACGTCAAAAGATTTGTCAAGATGGACAACTTTTTAACAAAAAAACTACTTGACTACTCCCTTTCATCCTCGGGTCATTCCCTTAAAAATTTAAAATGACAAGGAGTATAAGTAATAGCTTGTTTGAAAGGTCTTTCAAAGGACTTTATTTTCCTTCTAGAGAAAATTAGAAAAATCTTTAGTTATCTTAATTTGTTCAGATAGAAACCAAAAACACACGAACATATCACTTTTTATTTCAATAAGTGCTCAAAATATTGCTTGTTAGGGTTTGCCAAATCTACAATTTGTTTCTAATTCAAAACTCGAAACTATAAACATAAACAGCAATTCGGCAGATTAGACGTGGCAACAACCAAATAACAACCCGAATGTTTTTCCGCATTCTTTTATCAACGCAGATATCCTGGGCGAACTGTATTTATTGTTATACCTGTTTAGTTATTTGTTGCTAAGGGAAAGAAATAATTTAATTTGCTGTCAGTTACGTTTGTGACAATCTTGGGATAGTAAAAATCAATGTGCTCGGCAAACTGCCGTCACGTTTAACGCCAGTCATCCGGCTAAGATAACTTCGCATAGGTATGTTTTGGACCTTTTTACTAAATTTACTCAAGCTGGATCTGTTGCAAATAAAGAACGTGATCATTGCTGCTGCGGCTGGTACTTCATTAGGCTCTGTACACACAGTTACTAAACACACAAAACTACATTCAAAATGAAAATATTGCAAGAGTTAACCCAAGATGATTTCGATAGGCGAGTTGAGATTTGTGAACAAATGATTGCAGCCATTAATGATAATACCATTCATGTAAAGAATATCTACTTCAGTGATGAATGCACATTTTATCTAAATGGATTTCTTAATAAGAATAACTGCAGGTATTGGAGCAATGAAAATTCTCATGCTTTTGTGCAGGCATTTCAGGAAACAAAGTGATTGGGCCATGGTTTATTAATGGGCATTTGAATGGAGACGTTTATTTGGATATGTTGGAAAATCCGTTCATCACTGAAACCATTGAAAACCAAATCGAAGAGGATGGAAGCTCTATACTTGATGAGGCTGAAATAAAGGGTGGGCCACCCATTGGTTTCTTATTTAAATTGGTATGAAAACTACACTCTTTAATAATATGTAACACTCGATACTTTAAATCAAAGGAATACACCTTCCGATTATTCATGAAAAACAATTTCAGTTAAATGGCTGCCGCGGCTGACCTGGC